CCTGCTTGCACAGAGCCTCAAAGTCAAACAGAGATGAGAGGAGTTTCTTTCCTATCATCCTCCTGTGGCATGAATATGATCCACGAGATTTTCAGGAATATGCCAAAGCTTTTCAAAAATCTTTATTTCTAAGACACACCATTACAAACTTCTGAACAATTTTAAACAATTGTTTTAAACTGCTACTACTGGTTTAAAAGAAAAACATCCCTGAGAAAGAGGTCTTTGGTGGGTTCTATGTCAAAACAAGAATGGGAAAGTTTACAGTTGGAATCTTCTAGGGAAAAATAAGACAGATAAATAATGACAGTTTGAGGAAATAGAAAACAAAGTTTCTTTTAATATTTTATTTATTATTCATATTTTATGTGTATAAGTGTATTGCCTGCATATACATAAGTGCACCCATGTCATGCAATGCCCCTGGAGTCAGAAGAGGGCATCAGATCCCCTGGAACTGGAGTTACAGATGGTTGTTAGCTGCCATGTGGGTGCTGGGAATCAAATCTGGGTCTTCTGGAAGAGCAACCAGTGCTCTTAACCACTGAGCCACTCTCCAGCCCCTAGAAATGAAGTTTTGACCAGCCTCACAGTTTCTCTCCAGTGGCTGGAAGTCTACTATTTTTACTGTGAAGGTTGATTTTCAAGAAGGCCAGAGTCTGGGGAAGAGAGAATAGAGCACAAGAAATTATAATAAAGCTTGATACTGCTTCTGAATTCAGCCTTCTTTCTTGAATAATCAATCTGTGGTTGCTTAAGCCTTTGTTTGATTTTCAGAATTTGGGGAAAAATAATTTTGATGATATTTGATAGCGTTTCCATTGCTTTGATAAAGGAAATTACTTTTTATTCATTTATTTTTTTAATGCATATGAGTGTTTTACCTGCATATATGTAAGTACACCAGTGCAGGCAATGCCCGCAGAGGCCAGAAGTGGGTAGCAGATTCCTTGGAACTGGAGTTAAGGAAAATTGTTAGTCACCATGAGGATGCTGGGAACTGAACCTGAGTTCTCTGCAAGAAAACAGATATATTCAGTATCTCACAGATATATTCAGTCTCATATTTTACTTTCCACATTATATTATGTGTCTATTGTTTTATATTTGTCTTTATTCCATGGTCCCATCTAATAGCTTAAAATTCTGCTTTCCTTTTTAATATTTTATTTATTTTATTTCATGTGTATGAGTGTTTTGCCTACATATGTGTAAGTGCACCTGTGTCATACAATGCCCATGGAAGTAAGAAGAGAGCTGGGAATCAAACCTGTGTGTGTGTGCTGGGAATCAAACCTGTGTCTTCTGTAAGAGCAGTCAGTGCTCTTAACCTCTGAGCCATCTGTCCAGCCCCTAAAGTTCTACTTTCTAGTTCTGTTTTAGTATAAGTTACTATAAAGATCCATACCAAATAATCTAAACTTGGATTTTTCTATAAAAATAAAAATTGAATAGCATGGTAAGTATATAAAATCAGATTCAAGATGTTTAAAACAAACAAGAAAGCTGAATAATGATATATTTTGGTGTCTGTAGTTTTGTAAAAAAGACTTGCAGTATCTTAATAATTCCTATAATTATTTATTATTTATTTATTGATGATTACAATGCATCAAGAAGATAGCAACTTTCGTCTGTTCATTAATTTAATCTTTGCAATTCTATACTCAATGTTCCATTGTCTATTTACATGTGATCAAATAAGCTCAGAAAATTTAAATAAGGTACCCAAAGTCACATTATGTTGTACATAACAATATCAGGATTCAAGCTTGAGCCCACCAAATTCCAAAGCTTGTCCTTTTCAAAGAGTAAAAAGCTAAGAGCATGGTTAGTTGGTAGAGGCATTCATATTTATAAGAACAGACAGCAGAAAATTGTCTTTCTCATTATCTCTCATCTGACAAATTTGTAAATATAGAGGAAAAACCATAATGCTAAATGAAAGTTAGGAGACTGAAAACATGCTAAAGAATAGCCTGGGAGAAATGGACAGCTGGGGGAGGATGAGGAGGAAGTCAAAGGCAGAGAAAGTCAACCTACTCCGACAGAAGGGAACAGATGGGAGATGAGCAAGGACAAAGGGGCCATGTGGGTAGGTGTCATCAGTTAGAGGGCAAGTAACTGGAATTTGATCAATCAACAGGAATTTATTTGCTGGACTCCTGGGCATTGTGGGAGCTACAAAAGAATGTAGAGTTATTTGGGGAAGGGTAATGATGCAGACAAGACAGATGGCTGGACTGGGGTGTTCATGCTGGAGGAAGAGGCTAGAGACAGAAGGCAGAAAGAAAGAGGTTAAAGCAGCCCCTCGGTGAGCTATCTTGTCTATGAATCTGGAAATCAGTGGAAATAAACTAGAGAAAATCCTGTAATTGCTATTGAGTCAAAGAAAAAAAATTTAGATGGGAGGAAAAAGATGACAGTCATCTACCTGTTCCATTCCTGCTTTATGACAATTAAAATGGTATTAAAGATTTATAAAAATGCACTTACACCCACAATGCCCTGCATCATCTCTCCAATGTAAGCATGTCTACTTAGTTAAGACTGGGTGGGGCCTGATGGGCATGACTAAGAAGAATTTGGCCTGCCCATCTTAACAGGAACAAAAAAAGTCTTTCTGTCTTAAAGGAAGTTGTCTATTAGACTTAAAAAGTGCCCAAGGACATTTAAAACGTCAGGAAGGTAGTGTTCCATTTGTTGGAGAGAAAATAAATCAGGGTTAGTTGGTGCTAATGGGCATGAAACCCAGTGGAAAAGCATGCCAAGGCAACGACTTCTCCATGTAGGCCTCTGGTGTGTTAAGACGTTCATATGTGTTCTGTCATTCTAAAGTATCCACTGAGTACCTTCCATAACAATGAGTTAGCCTCTAAGCTCTTTGCATGTACATTGTCCCAACAATAATACATAAATCCTATTATTACCACTTTTATACCTATTTTCCACTTTATAAAGGAAAATCATGAGGCAGACAGATTAAATAACTCATCCAAGATTACACTGTCAGGAGGTAAGAGAGTAGGAATTCTTATCCTAACCCATATTATATTTCTTTTACCTTGAGACAGGCATATTTTAGGCACTGGGGTATGTGAATTAAGATTTGACTCCTGAGAAGTACATAGGTTAGCTGGGAGACAGAAAGCTGGCTGAAGAATTGTGCTATAACAGGGTGTTTACTATACAGACATATGCCAAGTGGATGAGTAAAGAAATATATAAATCTGCCTTGGAAGTGTCAGCAACTACTTAAGTGATGGAATTTAAGACTCAATGACCATTTCTAAGGTAATGAAAAGAGAATTCTAATGTTTACAGAGTAATACATGCAAAGAGACAGAGGTGGGAAACCTTTTTGGACAGTGCTGGGGATTAAACTTGGTGATCTATGGATGCTAACAGCATTTTACCCCCAGCTCTAGCCCCTAAAAGTTTGAGCTCTTCAGTAAAATCTCCACAGAGATCAAAAAAACTGAAACATGATAGGAGATAAGATAAGCACTTGTATGTAAGGCTAAGGGAGTTATCATTGAAACCAGTTGTATGAAAAACTGGATGAATGAAAGAGACTCTACATACTTCTATAACATGGGATGCACAAGGTTATAGACACTCAAGGTTTAGAGATAACTTAAAGGTGACAGCTAAGTAGGAGTAGCAGCATTACAAGTGGAAGACACTATTCAAAATATGATAGAACGCAGGCTAGGCATGGTGACACTCGCCTTCAATCCCAGCACCTGGGAGGTAGAGACAGGTGGATCTTGGTGAATTTGAAGCCAACCTGGTCTACATAAAAAGTTCCAGGTTATCCAGGGCTACATAATGAAACCCTGTCTCAAAAAGACAAAAGGGGGGGTGGAAAGATGGCTCAGTGGTTAAGAACACTGTTCTTCCAGAGGACCTGGGTTCAGTTCCTAGCACCCACATAGCAGCTAACAACCAGCTATAACTCCAGTTCCATGGGATCTTGCGCCCTCTTCTGGCCTCCATGGGCATTATACACATGCGGTACACTTATATACAGGCAAAAAACTTATACACATACATAAAAATAGATAAATGAATTTTTTAATGTGATAAAAGGTGGCAAGAAGGCAGCAATGTGCTCCAGAGAGCTTAGGGCCCAGTACCCTAGAGGCCTCAGTGAGTGAAACACACTTTGTATCTCAGTGCCCAGTCTAGCAAGTCCATTCACGCATTTGTTCGTCCAATACACATACACTAGGTGACCACAGCCTTTCTCCATATTTCAATAGCAATACCCAAATTCATGGTGGATGGACTTCGACATGACTATGCCTGATCTCCCAGAAACTGGCTTCACGTGTGGCACAAGTGGGGACCTACTAGAAATTTTAGCAACAGCAGTCAAGTATTACTTGGAGAATGCTAGTTGAATGTGCTCTGGAGGACCTCTGACAGGGTATTCAGGCTAAGCATGGCTAGTCCTATAGACACAAGTTCCCTGAGCCTCTGCACACTGGGGGAGCTAATAACATGGACACAATTAGCTTCTCAACTTGACTGCCACCCCCAAAAGAAGGAGCTGTGCAGATAAGAATTACACCTTCTTATCCATCCAATGGAGGTTAGCATCTCAGAAAGAAGTAAAAATAAGTCCAAATTACATAAATTTGAGATTACATATACCCTTTAGATACAGCACTGAGACACATCCTCAATTGGGTGAGATACTAAAGTCTTTGAGCAGATGTTCATATCATGTAGGGTCGTATATAAATGGATATTTTCATAGTCAATGGAGGGTGTCATCTCATTCCTGCCACTCTGAGGCAGAACCCAAGCTGTTTGCTTTTCCTGGGTTTCTGCTTGCTTCTCTAAAGCAGGAAGATGAGGCCAATGGTCTCTATGGGCCTTTCCAGCTGGAATATTGTATTTGGATTCCAGATGGTTCTTCGAAATGATAGAGTTCTTTGTCGGTGTCTAATTCTGTTGTGTGTAATTACTACATGCTATTTTCCTCTTCTTAGGAACTGCCGAGTGAAAATGACCCAACAAATGCAGAATTTACATCTTTCTCAATCAAAAAAGCACAGTGCCCCCTCGTCCCCCAGTGCTGCCAAGCGCTTGTACAGGAACCTCTCAGAGAAGCTGAAGGGCACCCACGCGTCCTTCGATGAGGCCTATTTTAGAACCAGAAGCGACCGGCTGAGTCTCAGAAAGACCTCGGTGGTAACAGATTCTTTCTATTCCTGTGTTGGTTCCATTTGTTTGACAATTTGATTAATTTTTCTATTTTTACAAATTTAAGTCTGGCAGGACAGGAATTACATGTATCTACAATGTTATACAAAGTTGGAATGATTGTGAGATGCTTTTCTCTTTTTCTTAATTTCCTTCCTTTTTTTCCTTTAAATTTTCTTTTACTATTAGACCAAAGAAACACATTATGTGTAGTGCTGGGGGCTGGGGATTGACCCCTGAGCCTTGTGCATTCTAGGTATGCAATCTGTCACTGAGTGACATCTCCATCTTCTTAAATTTGTGTGTGTGTGTGTGTACACATATACTTATATATTTGAGATGTGTTTCTTTGGTCTAGTAGATACAAATTCCATGAGGCTGTGCACACTGCGGGGGGGCGGGGGGTAACAGTATGCACACATATGCTTCCTAAAATGTATCATTACATTCATCTTTGAATTCCCAGGCATTCAGCACAGAACAGGAAATACAATTGGTTATAGCTTCCCATTAGTTGATAACTGAAAGTGTATCAGTTCATCAGGAAAAATGAATCTTTTCCTGTTGCTAAACTGTCTGGCCTGTGTAGATGTCATAGTAAATTAGCTAATAGCAAAGGAGATATAGGGCATTACAGATGTTCTCAGACAGTAGCTCTCTGCACTGACTATGGGTAAAAGCTGAAGGCTTACTATTTTGTAGGAGGGTAAAGGCTCCATTTGTCTGAGCTTTGAACAGAAGTAAATCCTGGCTTTCCCAGAGAGAAGCAAGTTAGAGTTTGGAGGAGGAAATAACTTAAAAAGGAAAACAAATATGGCACACAAGAAATTAGAAATACTAAGGATCATAAATAAATACACAGCATAGACAGGACAACATTTGGCTTTTGAATTCATTTGTTTTCTAATGTGTTTTCTCATCTCACAGTCATCTTCTGAGAGGCATGGCTGGCACTCAGTTGTGACTGACACATAGAGGCCCTTCAGTTTGGTAGACTGTGGAGAAAATGCTTTTCCATTCAGTACGATGTCTTGCAGCAAGAAAACAGCATACCAAAATAGCTTTCTCCCCTGAGTCCTTATTGTCAAAACAAGCATTTGCATAATCACTTCATATTTTCCTCAAGTTCCTCCTCTGTGGTATAGACTCAGCCAAAGCTGACCAGCAGCCTTTAATAGGGAGAATCAAATTTTGATGAAGACTTAAAATAAAACCTGCCTGTCTAAACATTTGGTAACTGAAGATTTTCTACATGTTAATCAACTGACTCCAGTGCTAGGGCAAGGCCAATGGCATTTCAACATCTTTAGAGACAATACCTTTAGAGACGATATCACAAATGTCGAGGAAGAATATATCTTCGTCTTCTTTCAAGAGCTACAGAAACATGTATTTATGGGGAATCTTTATTATTAATCTTTTTAAAGAATTCTTCCAAAGAACCATATTGTCCATCACTATTCTTATAGGTGATTTGTACTTTATAAATATTCAACTTCTAGCCCTCTCAAGCAATTAACTATTCAGCACTTAAACCCTCCCGGGGAAAACCACTTAAACTTCTCCCCTCAACTCAAAGATGTTAGGTGTCCAGTGGTTGGGGTTCTGGGTTAAGAAAGCATAGGATTGAAGGACCCAGGGTATATATCCGTGGGTTTTATTGTAGCTGTGACAAAGAAACACCTGATAATAACAAGCTAAAGAACAAAGGGTTTATTTGGGTTCATGGCTAAGAGGGTTCAATCAATTGATGGTTGCTTGACCCCTACGCTTGGCAGAAGATCATTCAGACAGGAGCATGTAGCAGAGGTTGTCGTTCACTTCCCAGTGGATGGAAAGCAGAAAGAAAGGATGTATAGGAAGAGTCCAGGGCAAGATGCATCCCCAAAGACAAGCCCCCAATGAGCTATATGTCCTCCAACTAGGATCACCTCCTCCTCACTGCTCCAGATAATGCCACCGTATTATGAATTCATCAAAGATTTAATCCATTGACTAGATCAGAGCCCTTATGATCTGCCTAAAAGAAACATCCTCACAGATAATCCGGAGGTGTGGTTCACTGATCCTCTGGACGCATCTTAACCCAGTGAAGTTGAAAACCGAAATGAACCATCATGGTTCGGACCTAGCCATGTGATAGGTTATCAGAAGTCCGTAATTAGGGAAGTGGCAAGCAACATCTATGTTTTAGGAGAGTAACTCTTGAAATAATCTGGAGCCTGGATTGAGGAGGTCAAGACTTAGCAGAAGACAAGTCATTGCCATGGTCAAGACAAAGGAAAATAGCACCTGGGATGGAAAGGGAGGGAAAAGTTGAGAGAAACAAAGAAAGTGGACTATCAATACAGAGTAGTCATAATCAGAACTACCTGTCCCTCATTATCTATGCCAGCATTTCCCCAGCTGTGTTCTGCAGAGCCGGATTCCAGGGATAAAGTTGAATGCAATAAAATATATATTAATGTGACTAAAGGCTCTGAGAGGTGCTTCAGTAAATAATGGCATAACTTGGGTTAATTCAATGCTTAAGAACATGACCTAGTAAATAGTGTCCTTTCAAGAGAATACTGGCTTGAAAAGAGCTGGTTTTCTCACTTTCTTATGGACTGAGCTGTACTACACAGTACCATATCATCCCATCCCATCTAAGCATGTCATCCAGTCAATGCCCATTAGAAAGCATGACGGGAACAACACGGTGCTTACTTTGGAAACCCTGGGATAAGTTGTAGTTTTATCATTATCCACTTTCAAGTGGCTATGCAGTCCCTGAAGCAATCTCTAAAATTCAGAGACCCTAGTTTGTGACATTGTACCACTCTTCTTCTCCTCTCCTCCAGAATTTCCAGGGCAATGAAGCCATGTTTGAGGCAGTTGAGCAGCAGGACCTGGATGCTGTGCAAGTCCTCCTCTACCAATATACACCAGAAGAATTAGATCTGAACACTCCCAACAGTGAGGGACTGACACCCCTGGACATTGCCATCATGACCAACAATGTGCCCATTGCTAGAATTCTTCTGAGGACAGGGGCCCGAGAGAGTCCACACTGTAAGTAAACATGAGTATAAAAGACCATGACATTCATCAGACCTATGAAATCTCTGTGAAACCAAAACTAGCCATGATTAGCCTTAAAAGCAGAAATGGTTGGCTCTACACAGACCTTGAAATCTTTTTTTTAATGATGTTTTAATTGCTAAAACCATACAAATAAGCTAAATACATTGGAGTCACTCAGGATATTGTACCTGTGACCTATCATAAATTCATTTGTGATTGTCTTGGTTTTTTTGGTGCTTTAATTTTTTTTTATTTTTTAAAGATTTGTTTAAAGATTTTTTTGTTAATTATTTATTTAATAGCCACATACTTAGAAGAAGCATTTCATTACAACAGCATTGACATATTCAATAACAACTTTTTGAACTAAGATGCATCTTTTTCAGAATTGGCCGTAAATTTTTAGGTTTACAGTTGAATTATTACAGTTATACAATGAGTGAGTAGGAAGGATGGACTGGCAGGTTGGCAAGCTGGCAGGCTAGTAGGTGAGGTGACTAAGCAGTCAGATATTCCTGATCAGGGCCAGTTTGGGGGGAAGAGATGACCTGCTCCTGCTGTGAGAACCCTGGGTTTCATCCACTTCTCTACCAAGATATTTACCAAACTCTTAAACAAAAGACTAGCAACTCCTCAAAGACCAATTCTGCCCTCTGTGATTTTGTAAAGTTCATCCCACCTTGCATGTCCTTTGTCCTGCAGAGTTTGGATCTGGCCTGAAGTGTCTTAGCTGTCTTTCTCAATTCTGACAGTCTCATAACTGTGCTATCACTATTTTTTTAATTTTTAATAACTACATGATTAAAGGAAGCATTTCACTACAGATTTAACATATTCAGTAACACACTCCAGAGCAAGAGTACATCTCTTTCACAAGTGGGTACAAGTTTCTAGATTCACAGTTAATACAGTTATACAATATTGAACTCAGTATAAGACCGGTAAGAGATAAAATTGAATGAGTTTTTTAACCTTTAAAAAAGATCTCCATTTCATTTTAGAATATATTGTTCCTTGCAGAAAGACTCATTGTTTTTGCTACTAACACAGAGATGTTGGTGCATGAATCTCTAATCTGTATGCATCTGATTATTACTAGTCAAAATCGGTTGCACTTGGATCCTTGGCGCCTATGTATGACTATGAAGTCATCGGGTAGATCTCAATGGTACTGTTTATCACCTCTACTAATTAGCATGACATAAATTTCCATGCTTCATCCTCAAATATAATACATTTTCTTAAATTTGTTGATATTTTAATGTGTGTGTATATCACACAGAACATCCCAAACCATCTTATTCGAC